TATCCAAGCGCATGAAAATACCATATTTTGTTGCATACATAAAAATACATAAAAATATATAACGTTTATACTTTATTATAAAAATAGCCCATCTGACCATTCGTTGGAAACTCAGATCTGAGCGCATCAGATGTACGAATTGCACTCAGATCTCACGAATGGTGTATAAGAGTCACATCATTATAGTTTGTTTGTATGGTTTTTGTGCGAACGGATGGGACAACCGGTATTTCAGCGGGATTCGTGTAAATCATCTGCCGATTCTAGTTCTAGAGATTTTACTCCCAGGTCCCTTTGAGCACTCGCTGACAAAAACATGGCCGCCGCCTGGTGTTCGGCATACGAACGGCGACCACCTTGGAATAAGCACCTAGACTGCAGTTAACCGCAGAAACCAAAACTTAATTAGGGACACACGCCAAGGTCTAGGTGGTCGTCGTTCAACAGTTCTTTCGTGTGAAGTTCGGTATTCCGTTCGGGCAATTGTGCGTGAACGGTGACCACCCTAATGACGGACAATTAGGTTGTGGTTAACCACGAACCGTAACTCCCGGGTGGTTAATTGTTGACACCCTCCTGTAGTGGGGTGGTCTGCTGTTCGTTAGTTCTTTCGGCGGTTTCGAGGTCAACGAGGTTAACTAGCAGCCCACGCCAGGGGCCGGTTGGTCGATCATTCGTATATACGAACGACTTGCAGAATGAGTTTGTGTAGCACAAAGTAACGAAGTGTAACAAAAGTAACTGTATCCATCCGACAGAGGGGATCTCTGTAACACCCTATTTTTGTTAGTTTAGAGTTATGGCTGATTTTTGTTAATTTATGGTTCACCATTTATGACCTATCCTAATATCTTTAAATCTCAAATACTTTCTCCTCTGTTTATTTAGTTTTCCTTTAACTGCCATTTCTCACCTCAATATCTGTGTCTTCCCCTCCTTTAATTTGCTGTTTTATCTAACCCAGATTCTTTCTTGCAGCCTGGGTCCCAAACACCACAGCAACCAGTTCCCAAGACTCTCAGGTAAAAGCCTTATGCAGAGGTAACACTTTTGGATATCTTCCCGCCCACCCCAGGTATCTCATTACATTTATAGATAGGACAAATTACCTGACAACCCAAACACACTAATTATGTCTCTCAAACACTCATCACCTGCTAAACTATCACACTCCTGGCCTTTTAACCCCTCACCCCTCTCTTGGAACTCTAAAATACCACCTTATGTAATTTGGCATGACTGAAACTCCTACTCCCTTTCTATATAATATAAAATCTTTGATTATTCTTATAAAATGCTCTCCCTCATATTCTTTACCCTCACTTCTCTCATTGCCAAGATATCTCTGTCATTCTGCCTACCTGTTCCTGCTGACACAATTTTCATTGCTCCCTCCCTACTTCCCTCCCCTTTTTATTTATACCATGCACTCCACTTGTACCTTTCCAGCCTATCTCCACCATCTCCTTCTAAAGCCTCAAAATATAAACACTCTTACAAAAACTTTAACCCCTTAAGGACGAGTGAGGGACCTGAGTGAGCGAGGTCCATCACTCAGGGGATTGCCATAACGACGAGTGACGGACCTTGTCCGTCACGCATTAAAATTAACCCCAGATCGCCACAATCGCGGCGATCGCGGCGTTAATGGTGCTATGGTCTGCCTCTGTATTAGTGGCTACTAAAAAAGACTGAACATACCCAATTTGCAATACATTGGGTTGTCTACTATTTCAAATGGTATGCCATCATGGGGGCTACCGTATGGTTTCAAAGGCAACATAAACAATCTAGCTAATTTCAATGTGAAAAAACTGAAACGCAAGCCTTATATTTGACTCTTGAACTTTTGAAAACACCATAAAACCTGTACATGAGGGGTACTGTTATACTCGGGAGACTTCGCTGAACACAAATATTAGTGTTTCAAAACAGTAAAACGTACCACAACAATTATATCGACAGTGTAAGTGCCATTTGTGTGTGAAAAATTCAAAAAATTTCACTTTCACTGAAGATATCGTCATTGTAATACATTTTACTATTTTGAAACACTAATATTTATGTTCAGCTAAGTCTTCCGAGTAAAACAGTACCCCCCATGTACAGGTTTTATGGTTTCTTGGAAAGTTACAGGGTTAAATATAGTGCTTGCAAATTTAATTCCTTGAACTTTCAGCCTGGGTTGTCAGGCAGGTCCTGCAAATTGTAATTAATAAAATGACCTAATTATGTAAAATTATTACATAAATATATACGTAGAATTATTATATATTTACACGTGTGTGTATATATATATATATAAATATATATATATATATATACACATATATATATATATATATATATATATATATGTTTTATATATATATATGTATATCATTTTCTAAAATTATTTTATTTATATAAAGGTATATATAGTGATAAATACGTATATACTTATGTATATAGATATATATATTATTTTGTTCTACATGTATTTTGATATTTATATATATATATATATATATAAACCAACAAGAAGGAAGGCTGCTCTCTGGACTTTAAAACAAAAAAGTTTATTCAAATAATATTAAAAAATCATGACCAACGTTTCGGTCCCCGTTCGGGACCTTCCTCAGGGTCAAAAATAGGACAACAAGACAATACAGTATAGTGCATCAGTGAACAATAAATACCGAAATATACAATCAAATTACTCACTTAGGTGTGTTCCCGTATGTTCCCGCCAGCACCCTGTGCTCTTCCGGATATGCGTGCACATCCTTGTGCGTCACGCCCTCTCACATTACGTGCCTACGTGTCGGATCTCCCGTCACCCGGGCAACTATGTAAACAAAGCAACCTGCTAATACAAACCAGTGCAGCGATCGGAACAACGGATAGAACTATATGTATAAGTGTAAGGACATGAAAGTGCCTAAAAGTACTTGATGTATAAGGGTAATCCAATAAAACAAGGATGTGAAATAAGCTGATAAATAGCTGTGCTTGTCATAAGACACTGTGTAGGCATTAATATCACTTAATGCCCAAGCAACATGTAGATTAACCCCTTAAGGGTATAGTAATATTACAGTGGAGCAAAACTATGCCATATTATAATAAATGTGGATTACTGCCGGAAAGCCACCTATATACTCGGTGGTCCTGATAGTCCTGGTGGACTCTCTCAAACTTAAGCTTTTTGAATTTAATCAATTCGTTTTTATATTTTACCAAATCTTCTTGCAATTTATGTAACATTTTCTGCCCTTCTGTGGAAGCCAGTAAAATAGCATGTTCTACTTCCACTGCAAAAAATTTTTTGTCCACATCCATTAAGACCAATCAGATTTACAGCCCAAATCAGTTCTGAGAAAGTCCAATATTTGGACGTGGAGTTATCTGTCTGGGTTGATAGGCTTGAGTATAGTCTCTATACCAAAACGGCGGATCGGAATACATTGCTACACGCATTAAGTGCCCACTCACAAACGCTCATTAAGTCTCTTCCAAAAGCCCAATATCTAAGGGTAATGTGAAACAACTCCAATGATCTCATTAAAGAAAAACAGTTGTCAGAAATGACGGAGAAGTTTTTGCAACGTGGCTACAAACGTCCTATCTTGGATGAAGCCTTGAATGAAGCAAGAGAACCACGAGTACCTAACGAAGAAAGTCTTAAACATAAAGCAATCCAAAAATTGGTCTTTCCCACCACGTACCATCAGGCCACTAAAACTATCTCCTCAACCATTAGGAAGAATTGGAGAATTTTGGCTGGGACGATACACTCCCTAAGGTCTTTCGTGAAAAACCTTTAATTTGTTTCAAACGAAACAGAAATTTAAAAGATCTTCTGGTCCACACAGACCCTGTTTCAAGTTATACAGAAAAGACCATTGCCAGAAATCGGGGTTGTGTCCGTTGTCTAGGGTGCGTCACCTGCAGTCATATGACGCCATCTAAAACTTTTTCCCACCCTCATACCAATAAGCAGTATTCCATCAGAATGACTATTACATGCAAAACAACACATGTCATATACAAATTGACATGTCCATGTGGCCTAGCATACATTGGTAAAACGGAAACTGCAT